TAGAAAAAAATGAATCTTGGTGTATTTTGGCCTCTTTTGCAAAGAACTCTGTCTTCCTGAACCATAAGAAACAAAACTTACCTGAATTTTGAATATCTTTAAGGGCTACAGTTGTGGAGTTAATTAGATTCAGAATGTAATCACCCCTAGTCCTTATTTTCTCTTCTTCCAGAAATGCTCCTAAGTCTTCACTTACTTGCAGCAGAGTACTCATTCCTGTCTTTGCCTTTTCTTTTCACATTACAAACAACTTGAAACTCTTTTAGGTGGAATTTTCACTTTATTTCTTTCATTTGACTAACTCATTTATGTTCCTGGAGGCCTCTGGCTTTTTCATATCACCTTTACATTTGGGAGACTTAGAACTGGACACGGAAGTTTAACAGAGACTTTTAAAACTTCATTTTTAGCCAAATCATAATGCAGGGAGGGAAGTTGAAACTTGGGCTGAATTATTTTTCTCGTGGAACCAGAATTTGTCTTTTTAGGGTCCGTAGACTTTTGTTGATATCATGATAACTGAATAGGAATTACATTGGTTTGTGTCAGGGTGGGGGAAGGGTTCTTCACCACATCACCTCTGTTCTTCCTTTATGAATTGTTCACAGCAGCGGTTGTTGGGATTTTGAGGCACCCCTCAGGTATCAGAATATGGCAGATTTCTCTCAGCTTTGTATTTTTTGAATGTGCGAAAATGTCGTCCGTCATTTTAGACTGCACATGTTTCTGGGGGGCCTCCTCTGTGTCCGACTCTGTCCTCGGCTCTTGTTATACCGAGGAACCTCTTGTGGTGTGTTGGCCAGGGGATCACGGGAGGTGATCGTGCGCAACTGCTAAACACTGAGCAAGATTTCCCACCCAACAAACCAGAGGGATATGCCTGTCTCTTCCTTGCCAGGCCCCACGAAGGGGAACATCAAGCAGGAATAAAGGCCTTTTTTGCCCTCCTTCCTCATTCTGTGAGTCTCAGTCCCTAGAGGTATGACTTTAGTATGTTTTTCAGTCGCTGGCAGTGGCCCAGTGTTAGAAAGCTGAAGGACAAGTTCATCTTACTGAAAATTCATTTTGTTTGAGTTCAGCAGTTAGTGAATCAATCCTTCGTTGGGCCAGGTACCCTTGGAAGGTACTGGAGACAAGTGAGAAAGGAACTCTTTTCTTATGGAACTCAGATTCTCATAGGAGATCGTTTAAGATCCCCTTAGTATAAATCACACCATAAGAGATGGCTGTACAGTGAAGGAACTGGAGAGGAGAAAGCCGAGCACAGGGAAGATTTAGCAACATTCCACCTTTGCTTCATGTCTAAAGAACATAAACTCCATGGAAGTGACGTCTATATTTTTTGCCTGCTCGGTTTTAACCTAATGACATGTTTTTGTCATTCTTCCCCTTCCCAGCGGGAATGTTCTCTGAAAGTCCATGCTGAAGGGGAGCAGAACTGAGGTTGGGGCAACTGAATGCGTGGATAAGTAGCAAATCCAGCACAAGGCTTTTGTTACTGCATTGCACAAGCTTATGGAGGCAGAGACTGATATGTAGGCATTAGGATTTATTTTATTCCTTTCCCCAGTGATTAGATTGATAGTGAAATATCTTTGTCTGAGCACTCCAGCAATATAGTTGTAGGCGCCATAAAAATGCATAGATAGCTGGCTGCCCGTTCAATTAAGAGGTCTCAACCCAGCCTCCTATATGCAAACCCTGTCTATTTTAGGTTTAAATTTCTGCTCATAAATTTTTTAAAAACCAAAAGAAACATTGCTTTTCAAGGTTAGGTTGAAGTCTAAGATTCCTTAAACCAAAAGCAAGTCCCTAGATGGGGAAAAAAAAAATTGATGACCCTAATGTACTTCCTCACAGTAGCATTTCCAACTCCATCATTTAAACACACTTTAAATAATATTCTCTTCGTTGTAATATACAGATCTTCTGGCTTTCAACCAGGGAACCAGAGGAAGTCATGCCAGATATAAGGTAGAAGCTATGAGATATGGCAGCCAATTCCATGCAGTTGGATCTGTTTTCTGGGGCCTCTAATTCTTTCAGGAGGCAATCAGCTGACCCTGTGATAATTGTCAAAGAAAGTAAGCTATGAAGTTAACCTAGGCTTCTGGCAGGTCTCTACCAAGTATAAAAGAGAAAAGTAAGTTAATTGTTAACCTTCATGATAGTGTTTCAGTGTACATGCTTAAGAAAGCAATTGTTCACTTGTATCAGTTATGTATGGGTAGAAATTAATTAGCAGTTCTGGTCATCTGGTTGGCTCCATACTTAACAGCGTCGGTGACCGTTTGCAACAGCAGGGAAAGTGTCCATGCATCCTCAGCATAGAACATACTCCTGGGACAGGGTAGTTCTGTTCCTTGTTGGTTCAAAAAAGAAACGGCATTAAACAGCCCAGGGTTGAAAGTAACTATGGAAATTTTTAGATCATTTAAATTTTCTTGTAGATCTTTGGCTCTGCCTATCCCTTACCAGGATAGTGTGTTTTAGTGTGCTGTCCCCCGTGGATAGCAATGTCTCCAGCTTTTGAATAAAACTGGAGAAATTAAAATCTGTTTTCAGTCTGGCTAGATGCCCCCCACCCCAGTGTGTGCATCTGAGCTTTCAGAAGAGCGCTGCAGCCCCTTTCGTACCAACTCTGAGTCTGCTCTTGCCTCTCAGTCATTTGCTGTTTATTTGCTTCTCTTTCTGTGGCTTGGAATTTTAAACTTTCTTTGAACACACCTACGGCCATCTTCTGTTGCTGTTCATGTCTTCTGTAATCATGTTATGTTTCTGTAAAGGTAGGGTGGTGAACCAAGTGCAAAAGAAAAGTCAAAAGAACAAAGAAGTCCACTTACATATTATTTAAAAACATCATTTTGATCTCATTAACCTTCTTGCCTTAATAGTAGTGGATAAATATCAGAAAAGTAATTGGCTTTTGTATATTTAGATTAATTGAGATGAAAAATGTTTTTCCGTTTGTTCACGAAGAAGTGATTGATCCTGAAGATACTATACCTAGAAGAAGAACATCAGCTAAGCTATCATATTTCCACCAGCTAGGTTTGCTGGTATTACAGCAACATAAATGTTCTATTTGGCAGAATTTTATGTATCCTTTTTGGGATGTGATCAGGAAGAATTTTAACTTTCCCTAAAACAAAATGAAGTATTTTTTTAAAATTTTAATTATAAGTATTAACGGTTTAAAATTTTCTAGAACAAAAATAATAAAACTATGCCTTTCTCCTAAAGCATGTTGAAATACTTCTCAGACTATTTAATTTGTAATTTTTAATGGCAAAATTATAGGGTCTTTCTATAGAAAAAGAGAAGGTAGTCATGCCATATTTTTTTATTGCTCTAAAAGTAATATTAATTTATCGAGTTAAAATTTAAAATATGGACCAATATGAATTTGCATTTCCAATTTTCAGTGCAGGCTCCATATTCGATTTCGGGGATCATTCTGAAGGATTTCTCTCAAGTTTTTTTGCACATGCTTTTGTTTGTGCTTTCACTATGGTGATCATTACAAAATGATAAAAGCTGTCACTTTGCCAGACCTAAATAAAAATTCACTTTTCACATCTTTTGTTGTTTGCACTTTTGGATCAGCGTAGAATTTTTGCTGTAGTCACCAGGTTAAGATGATCTGAAAACTTAAAGATAGATATTTTCCTTATAGTACTTCCCTATAATTAAAATCCTCATTTGCTTAAAAGCAGAGAGCCTTTCTAAGGTAATAAATTAGCATTTCTCGACCTAGGGTCACTAGGAGTGCTACTTCTTTTTGTAATATCTCCAAGAAAGAGAATAATAATGCTATAACTCTGTTGAAATAGAAGTAATATTTTCAGTTTAATCACAGTTAAGTGTCATGACCTTTTGATCTTGCACTGAACTTCTTGCTGAAATGTGGTCAAATTTTAGACAGCCAATTCTAACCCTGTGAAGCCAAGGTAAAGTTATTAGCCAGACTTTCCACAGATATAGAGGTTTTTCTAAAAACTATTTCTGTTTGTTTGTTTTTAGACAATGTTATATACTGTTTCAAGTCTCAGAATATGTTTTATAGCAGGAAAATTTACCCTTGAAATATTTTGCCTGATTTTTGTCTCCTCCCTCTAAAAATGTCTAAGTATGTTTACTTCTAATTCTGTGAGATTCTTTTGCTCTAACTTAATTTGATCTCATTTTTAAAATTAAATGTTATTTCATCAAAAATGATCCTATTTAGAAATCAACTGAATTAATTTTTTTTTTTAGTTTGGAAATAATTGTATTTTTTTAAGTAAAAAATAAATGGAATTCAACGCAGGTGTGCAGGAACGTGTTTTTGCAAACAAGTCCTCTTAGCAGCTCCCAAAGGCATCAGTACAAAAGGAAAATCATACTTGTAAAGTGGAGGAAACCTGTCCCTTTTCAGCAAGATGCCTTTGAGTGATCCTGTGATTTCAAGTGAATGCGCCTGGAGTATTAGGACTCATATTTAGTGGCGTTAGTCTGCATAGTATGTTGCTGTAGTACAGAGCTAAATATCAACAGAACTTGTTACTGTTGTTTGGGTTGCTTTTATATACCAGCTTCAAAATATGTTTTGACACTTTATTATGTTCTGAATCAAGCTTCAGATGTGTGTAATGAAGGATGAAGTCTTTATCAGACTCTAGTGTATAAATAATGAAGAAGAGCAGTTTGGAAATGGTTTCTCTGTAAGAGAAGGGCTTCTGAAGAGTTTCCAGTTTTGATCTGGCGCAAGACGCCGCTGGAGGCACACCCAGAACGGAGCGTCCTCTCTCTAAAGGCACAGGATGCTCCTGCCACTGCTTTTCTCCCCCTTTCTTATCTCCCTCCCGCCCCCACTTTTTTTTTTTCCTCATTCATCTTGTCATTCCTATAATGTTCTCATTCCTAGTTTACATGCTGAACCTTTTGAGAAAGTCTGGCACCTCTGATCCACTTTCCCTCGCAGACCCTGTAATTTTTGGCTGTATTTTTATGTTTTTCAGATTCAAGTCAATCTGAAAGTCCCAGCCAGCCAAGTGACGCTGACATTAAGGACCAGCCAGAAAATGGTAAGTTTAGTTGGGGTAGCCAGGAACCAACCAAGTACAAGGATTTTGGGGTCTGCCCCATGGGCAGCTCACAGTAGGAACAACTTTGATGACTCAAGGAGGTCTCTGGATCATTTGAGCAGCCCCCAAGCCCTCCTCCATCCCGCTCCCAAACACCATCCGGGCACTCATGAGAACCTTAGTTCCCAAGAACATTGATGACTGTGAGAGGTAGGGTTGATTTACCAAATCAGAACCTTCTACAGCACAAGCAGGGAGCCACTGCCTCTCTGTTTCATTTTTAGTTCCTTTTAAGGTGGCAGATGCCCCGCGACCGTCTTCACTGGTGATTTAAGGTCATTGACTGACAAGTATTTCTGTAGCCGTTCAGAACTCAACCCTTTCCTAAGTGCTTTCAGAAAATGATCTCTGCCTTTGAAGGATTTTCCACTTTAAATTGTCTGAAGTAAAATAGTAAGGGTACGTGACGGTATTAAATTCCTAAATTGTGTAATTATATAAATTTTCTGTTGCAGAAACTTGATTAGCATAGAGTGCGCTCTTTATATACAAATATAATAGTATCCAGTAAAGTTCTAGATCCGTGGTATGTGCTCCAAGTACAAAACAGATTGTTATAGGTTGGAATTTAAGATGGAGTAAAACAAATCAGTTTCAGTAAAAACTGAAAACTGAACTGGCAGTCCCTATCATATACTAAACATTGTACTATGTATTTTCCCAGATATCATCTCATAAAATTCCAAAATGCTCTTCCTCAGTGATATAGCTAAAGGCACTAATGGGGAGACTTGACCTTGACGGGCCTGTGAAGGGCATATGTCATCATGGTTAAGAGCTCAGGCTGTGGCATCAGGCCTGTGTTCAAATTCTGCCTCTGCTATTTCTTACCTTTGTGACATTGAACAAGTTATTTAACCTCTCAAGGCATAAAGTTATTCCTCATCTTTAAAATAGTACGGTAATAATATATAATAAGAGCCTACCTGTTGAAGAGCTAAATAAGATGCACATATTCATATAGCTTATAAAAAACTGTTAGCTCTTCGGTATTACTCATTATTTTTCTTGTCAGTATCATCCTTTACCATATTGGTTTTTCATCTACTTATAATGACCTCATTCCTTTGGTCACTCTTTTGTTGTGCTATATATTTTTCCACTTTGATCTCCGTCTGATCTTCTGGAATAGATAAGGTAAACTGAATTATGTCAGAATTGTGGGATGGAGGATTTTTGCCACATTAGATACCCTCTCACTACAGAATTTGTTTCATTTCCCAAGCCTGGGACATTCTTGATATCACTGCTGGATTTTGACATTAAATATGGACTCTCTGGCTATCCCTCTTCTTATTCTGGTGTTTTAGTGGTATTTTCCTTATCACAGTTGTCTCTTCAAAGCAAGCATAAGAAAAGAGAGACCCCTGAAGTCTTGTCTTTGGTGTCATAAATAGCTACATCTTATTATTTGTTGACATTTTTAAAGGGATATTTATACATTAGTTTCATCCTTTATTTCCACCTGACTTATAGGTGATACCTTAAGTGTTTCATTTTTCAATCACTTATATATGATCTGCCTGAAGTTGTGTCCAGAGATACTCATTTTATTCTCATTTCATTTTTAAAAATTGGTGGGCTGTACGGGTATGTGGTTCGTGTATTTAGGGCTGGCCGTCCCTCTAGCAGGCCTGCGATTCATCTGTCTTCATAAAATGGCCGACAAGCTGTTCACATGCAAATAGAAATTGAGAGCATGAGAGGCCTGGCATGCCTTTCTGGAGCTGCCTGTAATACAGATATTGTGCATCTCCCATTCCAAAAAGCAACCAGGATCGAGCCTGGATTTTTTGGCCAAAGGCACAAAGATATTAGCCAAGTTCACTTTTAACCCCAGATCACTTGGTGCTACCTCAGGGATTCACGATACTATTTTGGGGCGGAGTTGGAGGGGGTAGGATCATGTGAGTTCCAAAGAAAGTATTAATATCTGGGGGAGAAAGTAGTAAGTTCCTATGTTTCAAATGTCTATTTATTTCAAAGAAAAAGAAGTAGAGGTCGCTTTGTCTTGGATGCCTCCAATGGAAACAGCCTAGAGAAACAGCAGGCTACTCAGTTTCCTCTACCTGCCTTTTGTCAATCTCAGATGCAATGATTGGAGGAAACATGATTTTACCTCTTTTCTAAAGACACATAATCCCTAAAGGAAAGTAAGTGAAGAGTTCAGGACCAGGTATTTACGTGCATTAGAGAACTTTTTAGTGTTGCTTTGACCAAGAGTGATTTTTTTCATTACCCAGGTTATGGACAATGAGTTCCTGAAAGGTTTTTGTTTGTTTGTTTCGTTGTTGTTTTTAAAAAGGCAACTCTCATAAATGTAGCAACCAAACTCTAAGAACTCTTGGAATCTTGGTGGGTGAAGAAGTGACAGACTCTGGTCTGCAAATAAAGTGGGAACGGATTACATCTTCTTCATGTATATATGTGAGGGGAAATCATATTCTTTTTATCCTAGCTCTTGAGGAGAAAGGTAATGGGAAACGAATGGTATTTTCCTAGTAAACCATGGAGAATGAACAGACAAATGGTAAGATGCCGTTTCATCCAAATCATAAACTAGGCCATGTAACTTTACCTAAAGTGGATGCAGCTGTTTCTTCCCTGTCCAACTAGTCTGTTTTTTTCCGTGGAATTTTTGCTTTCTTTTCTTATACTCCCTTAAGACTCAACTGTAAAAGAAAACAAATCTTTGTCCAATTAGAGTATTAGATGGGAATTTTGAAGGAGTTATTTGAAGCCCAGAGATAAAATACCAGAATCCCTGAAACTCAAAATTGGTATAATATAATGATTAAAAACTCTGCCTCTAGAGTCAGACAGACCCAAGTTTAGATGAAATAATGGCTGGATGACTTTGAATAAACTACTGCCCCAATCTCAGTTTTCTTATCAGTAAAATAAGAATACTAAAAGAACACACTTCGTATTAAAAGGGAGAATATGGAGACAAACCATAAGAGACTCTTAATCTCAGGAAACAAACTGAGGGTTGCTGGAGTGGTGGGGGGTGGGAAGGATGGGGTGGCTGGGTGATGGACATTGGGGAGGGTACGTGCTATGGTGAGCGCTGTGAATTGTGTAAGACTGATGAATCACAGACCTGTACGCCTGAAACAAATATAATACATTATATGTTAATTAAAAATTTAAAAAATTAAAATTAAAAAAAAGAGCATATGTACATGAAATAGCATCATGTCTGGTTCATAGTAAGGATTCAAAGAAAGGTTGCCATTATTGCTATCAGTTAAAGCTCATATCTGTAAAGAGCATACGTATTGGAGAGGTCAAAAGCTGGGAGATTTGGAATGGAAGGGGGATAGTGTCAGAAAGAAACCAAGACTTTTAGAGAGGTACCTTCTGTAGATACCTACTCTGTTCTGAAATGTCAGATGTAAGTCTCCTCCAGTCTGTCCATAATCCCCATGGTGCCACATCTGTTTCATTATGTAGACCGTTCCTCACATTCTGTTCACCTTCTAGGAGTTGACTACCACAGAAGTGATTCTGAGTTGCCAGAACCTTCAGAATGAGCATTCCCAGAGAAGGTGATTCTGGAAAGAAGGGGCCCCACCTAGATGGCTTTAATTTTAGCTGAGTCTTTCCTTGGCACCAACCACATAGAATCTGGCTTATTAAAAACTATAAGCTGATTAAGGGTCGGGCTCATGACCAATTCTTTTTAAAACAATCTTGCAGAGCATATAGCTCTGTGCCTTGAACTTAGCAGGTACCTGGTTGGTATTTATTTGCTTAATGAATAGAATTAATAAGTAGATGCATATGTTCTCATTATCCCCAAATATTTTGCGAGTGTCCGCTCACTGTTGATTTACCAAGAGGTTTTTAAAGAAACAAATATCAAAACTTAAAAAAAAAAACTGGAGATGCAAAAAATCTAATTTGGGTGTGGGGGAGAATTGTACATGGACATGTGGACATACATGCTCGGATAAGACTGATAGTGCTAGGAAGCCAAAGCCATAAGGTATACTAATGTCCACAGTAGATCAAGTTGTACCTCTGCCCCTCCCACATGAGCAGGTGTGAGCGAAGACATGAAATACCATCATGTTAGCTTATGCTTGCTTACCACAGGTGATGAAATTCTGAGAGTTCTCAGCTCTGGCTGCAATCATGCATTTAATTCTTCTGCATATTGCTGAAACCCCCTTTCTGGCTTTTCAAGAGACTCTGAAGGTGATAAGCCTTATTTGTTGGACTTTGACTTAGAACATCTACTCAAACCACCTTCGTGATTCCCGAGAGGTACTTGAGCTACTGTTAACAGTTTTTATGGGACAGAATGTTTGAAATGACTGCTTGGTATTTACGGGACCTGTGAACAGTCCCCTAAAGCTTGTGTTCTGTGGTGCATCAGATCAGTCATTAATGAGGGAAAAGCTCATGTGATAACCCTCCTACTTAATTCAAGTCACACTTCTGTAGGGCCACACTGAGTCCATGTCTGAGGGAATAGCATCGTCCAGCATTGGTGCTCTGAAAGCCCCCTCCCTGCTGGGACTCGCTGTGAAAACACCCTTCAATGAAAAAAAGAAAATATGGGATTCCCTCGCCAGAAAAAGAAAAGCTTGTGTTCACATGTTTTTGCCCCCTCTGTTTACTCCCTCTCATCACCTGCACTGACTACTGTTAAAAGCCTCATCTTCGTGGTTTTTAAAATGTGATATTTATAACAGGAAAGCAGAGTTGGTATTTGGATTATTTCCTTTAGGCTTAATCGTGTTTGTTCTTCCTCATTTATCTGGTGGTCGCCCATATGTTGGTGGCGTAAACCCTCAGATGGGCCTTTGCAATCAGTGGAAAGCCATTAATCATGATGCTTGCCCCAGATTTTGAAAACTTCCAGCTCTACCTGCCAATCTGAAAATCACCCTGGAGAATTGTTTGAGTGTGGCTTTCCTGGTCACCAACAT